CAAGCAGTCTGCGCCCCTCCGATCGTTCCTTCCGCTGGCTCTGCTGCGCGGACCTCCTCTCAACAACGATCAGGTCCTCTTTGTGGGTGAGTGCCTCCTGGGACGGTACCAGAAGAGCGTCGTCCTCGGCACCTGCTCCTTCTGCAAGCAGCCCATGCGCCCCAGGCATCACCTCCTCTGCAAGGCTGTGAACGGGATCCACGTCGCCAGGCACAGCAAGGTCCTTGACGCCCTCGTGGCCTGCGCCAAGGGGCGGCCCGGCTTCGTCACCCTCAACGCGGCCGTCCCCGTGGACCATCTCCAGCCCGACCTGATCATCGGCGACGGCTACGGGGACCTTGTGCTGACGGTCCCCTGGCGCGTCGAGAGGTCCTTCGCCCTCAAGCTGGCCAAGTACAAGCCGCTCGTCGACGCCGGCAGGGCCAGACACATCCTGCCGGTCGTCCTCGGGACCGACGGGACCATCCACCCCACGTCGGCTGCCGGCCTCGCCTCTGCGGGCGTCGACGTCCCCCGCTTCCTGCAGGAGGCCGCCCTGGTCATTCTCTGGCATTACACTCAGTCGGCCATCTCGTACTCCGCACTGGCCGTCCCGAAGGCGTCCCCTGTTGCGGCTGCGGTCCAGGGTGCCCCGCTGGCGCCTGCTTCTCCTCTGGCACCGGCATGTAAGGACCCGCCCAGCGCCCCGCAGTGTCCTGCCGACGCCCCCGCTGCGGCGATCACTGAGGCGGCGGGGCTCTGCACACATGCCCTGCCTGCGTCCCCCAGCGTGGAGCTGATGCTCTCGTTCGAGGTCTCCAACGCCCCCTCGCCCGGGTCCTACCTGCCGGAGCCCTCGTCTGAGGCGCACACGGCGGAGAGCCCGACCCCAACGCCTGCAGCAGCGGGTCCTCCCGTCGCCCCGACGGTCGAGCCGGCCCGGAAGCAGCGCCCGCCCATCTTCAAGTACGTGGGGGCCAGGGCGGCGCCGGCGAGGGAGGACAGGCCCTATCCATTCAGGAAGGTCTCCGGCACCCTTCCTGGGGGCGACGCTCCTCGCTCCGGCTAGCACGGGCTGCGTGGCGGCCATGACAGGCCCCATCCCCTGCCCGACCGATCCATCCCTGCTGCCCGCCGTGGCCTGGGAGTCCCTCGACGCCGCACATGACACACCCTCGCGGCACGTGAGAACAAACCAGGGCTCTGTCTCGGCTCGCTGCTCTGTCCCTGGGTGGCCACCCTCATTGTGATGGCGCCTGCCTCTCCAGCTGCCTACTGCATGATCCCCGGGCTCTCTATGCGAGCTGCATCTCTTGGGACCGCAGGGTGCATCCTGGCATCACACCAGGGGCGACCGGGCCTCCAGGCCAGCACCACGGTCTTCCGTCTCTCGGTGCCTGAGCTGCGCCTCTTTGTTAGCTGCATGTGCCAGTCCCTTATACACATGCTGTCTGGCCCCTGGCTTATCTGCGGCCCATGTGACGCCCTCCCGCCGTGCCGGTCTCGGCCTGTCCATAGGCAGCTGCACCTCGGGCCCTCCAGTCTCGAGCCCATATTGGAGGCTGCACTACACCCTGCCCAGGAACATCATGGCTTACTCTGCCCCACGTCCTCCCTCGATCAGCAGCTCTGCCAGGGCCACTATGAACTCACAGCACATGCATCCGGGCCCTGGACAGCGATCGAGGGGGGCCGATGGCCATGCACACTGCCTGCCACCGAGTCACTCCCCTGGCATGCTGTCCCCCACCGGCCGGGTCTCTGGAGCGGAAGGCCTAAACAACAGGCTGTGGCCCGCGGCTCCCTCCAGGCATGTGCTGCCCCATCATGCATGGGTGTGCACGTATACCTCAACGCGAGGACAACAATCCATGTGCCCGACGGCTACTGCGTGGATGCCCTCACCAAATAGAGACCAACACTCGGCACGGACTCCTTCGGCGCCTGACCCTGTCCCTCCTCTTCCAACGGACACATCCCTCAGCACATGGATAGACGTCCGCCATGTGCGGCCCCCTGTCCTGGGCCTCGCTGGTCCGGCCTGGCTGCACCCCGTCACCACTGTGCACCGCCGTGGGCCCCCAGACACGCCCCTGACCCCGGCGACTTTGTGGCCAGCGGTGTCCGAGGGGGATATGCAGGACACCCTACTGCGCCGCGTGGCCCCGTCCTCGCTGCTGCTATCTGAAGGGACCGCCTGTCCCCCTCGGGGCCCCTGCTCGAATGCACCCTATAGTCCAAAGGGGGCATGCATGTCCCGGGCGTCGCGATAGACCATGTTTGCCCCGCCCTGCTCAAGCCGGGGCTGCCGACGGACCCACGTTCTCTCATGGTCCGCCGGGCCCGCAGGGTTCTGCCACCCCAATCCTGCAATCCGTTCTGTTAACATACACAATGTAACGGATTGCAGCGGGCTGGCTGCGGGGCCGCCTGCCTGTCCCGCCGCACAAGGAGGGTCTGGGACGGGCCGATGCCGCCGGGCCCCCTAGAGGGCGCCACACCGTGGTCTCCAATGCACAACATAGGTGCGGGCCCCCTTGATCAGTGGTGCCTGCTGGACCTTCTGGGCGGCGGGGCCTGGGCGCTAGACCGTGTCGGCGAGTGTGGCACCTCCCTCCCCCCAGCGGGACACAAGGCCGACGGGACACTAATAGGACCCAGTCTGGCGGGGGCCCACTCATGCCGTGCTGTGGCATCACCGGAGCCTGGGGCCTCCCTGTGCTCTTGCGTGCATCTCTTCCCTGCACCGGGGTTCCCTGCCCTTGCCCCCGCCCTCGCGAGGATGCTCTTGTACCTAGGCGTTGCCATGCGATGCTTATGTCCTCTGGTCCCCAGCCGCTTCCTCCGACCCTCTGCCATAGCTCCTTCCGGCCGGCCCAAGATGTTCCAGAATTCGCTCCCCAGTATTGCCTCGATTTCTCCGATTCCTTCTCGTTTGGCTGCCTTCAATTAGTTCAGACGTCTCCATTTGTGGCATCCCCCCTGCGCTGCTTTTCTTTGGCCAATTTCGTGCGTCATTTTATCTCGCCGGCCAGCATAGTCTTCTCTCCTCCCCCTTGTCCGTTCCTTTTCTTCGCCCCTCTGGTGTCTTCCTTGTGTGGTCGCCTCGTTGCCAGCCTTCGTCCCAGAGCCGGGCCGGACGCCGGGAGCGCGAGCAAAATCTAAATTTTGGCGCCCCCAGCGCGGAACCCGGGCCGGCCCCCCCGGATGTGCGCGCCCCGCCGGCAAGCATGCAGACGCCACAGAGGGACGGTGACTAGCAATGCCCCGTTCCCCCCAGCCTCCCGCTCCTCTGCCGGCTGAGCTGGGTGGCCCGCCGGACCCCCGAATTTTCCGAAAATCCCCCCGCCCGCCCGATACGCGCCACTTTAAATAAAGGAATTGGACCCGTGCGTGCGGAGCGGGGGGCGCACACGGGGCGACCGTATGCGATCTATGTGCACCTGCTCTAACCCACAGCGCCCGCTCCCGCCAACTCACACACAGCGCTCGGCCCCCGGCCCCCCTGGCCGCCCACCTGCGCCCCTCCGCGCCCCCTGGCATGCCCTGACGCCGGGAGAAGGCCCTCTGGCCGCGCCCCCGCCGCGAGACCACGCGGGCACGGGGGCTGGGGCGCCCCGGGCGGGCCCTCACCCCTCTGATGTGAGGCAGCATCTCTTCCAATAGTCCCCGCCCTGTGCGCATGTATTTCAGTAAATTACCCCTACTCTGCCCGCACCCCCCCAGAGCAAGTGGGCCGCGCGCCCCGCCCCGCGCTCTGCAGGCGCGTCCCTCAGGCGATCGCAGGGCTCTGCGCCGTACAGGAGCGCCGCGCCGGGTGGTCTCCCCGGGCGGGGGCCGCTCGGCGACGGGGCACGGGGCTGGGGCGCGCGGCCGGGCGGGGCGCGAGGCGGGGTGCGCGCTTAGAGGCGGTCAGCGCAGGGCCCCCGGGCGCGGCGGCGCGGCGCTGCCCGGCCGGGCAACCGCGGGGCTGGCGGCCCGCGGCGGGCGTTCCTCTCGTACTGGCCCGCCGTGCTCTGGCCCCGGGGCCAGTAGGGTAAAACTAACCTGTCTCACGACGGTCTAAACCCAGCTCACGATCCCTTGAACGGGTGAACAATCCGACGCTTCCGCGCCGGTGCGCGCGGACGGTAGGAAGAGCCGACATCGAAGGATCAAAAAGCCGCGTCGCTGCGGGCGCTCGGCGGCCACAAGCCAGTTATCCCTGTGGTAACTTTTCTGCCACCTCCGCGCCCGCGGCCGGGGCGGCGAAGGATCGGTAGGCCCCGCTTTCGCGGCCCGCGCCGGCACGGGGGGCGCGGGTCGGGCGGGCTTGTGCCCTTCTGCTCCGCGGGAGGTCTCCGTCCTCGCTGAGCCCGCCGTGGGACGCCTGCGGTCCGGTGTAGCAGGCGCGCCGCCCCAGCCGAACTCCCCGCCCGGGCGGGTCCCCGCGCGACCGGGTGAGCGGGGCGGCGGCGGCCGTCAGGGTGTCTCAGGGGCGCGGCCTCCCCTGTGCGCTGCGCCGGCCGCCCCGCCCCACAGGCCCGGGCTGGAGTCAAGCTCAAAAGGGTCTTCTTGCCCCGCTGGCCGGCCCTCGCCCGTTCCCGAGGCTGGAGGCTCGCGGAGGCGCGGCTCGGGACAGTGGGATCCTCGTTGGTCCATTCATGCACGTCGGAAATTGCCCGACGAGGCATTTGGCTACCTTAAGAGAGTCATAGTTACTCCCGCCGTTTACCAGGGCTTCGGCGGATCGCTTCACGGTGACGGTCGTGGCACTGGGCAGAAATCACGTCGCGCCAGCGCCGGGTGCGGCCCTCGCGACGCTGTGTTTCTAGTAAACAGTCGGGATCCCCGCGTCCGTTCCAGTTCTGACCCGGCGCGCCGTCAGAGCCACTCCTTTTCCCGAGGTTACGGAGCCGGCTTGCCGACTTCCCTGAGCCGCGTTCGCTCCCGCGCTAGAGGCTGCTGACCCCGGAGTCCTGCTGCGTGGCGGGGCTCTGATGTGTAAGGTCTGATGTGGAGGCGGTAGTTGTTTACTTTGGCTATTCTGAGAGGAGGGCCATCATCTCGCTATTGCCCTTGGCTATGTCCAAGAGCTTCCTCCTGTTTATGTTCTTCTCCTTCTCTGCGAGGAGTCTCACACACTCTATCTGATTGCAGGATACTGCCCACATGAGGGCGGTCCATCCGTAGTAATCTGCCATGCCCCCTTCCTTCTCCAGGAATAGCTTGATACAGTCTGGGTGGCCTTTCCGTGCTGCCAGTATAAGGGCTGTCTGTCCGTAACTCCTCTGCATGCACCCCTCCTTCTCTAACAGTAGCTTAGCGCACTCTGAGTAGCCGTTCGCTGCTGCTAGCATGAGGGCAGTCCATCCATTACTACCTCTCATGCTTGCCTCCTGAAGATTACTTCTAACTGCATCAGCATCTCCAATACAAGCAGCACATATGAGGTTTGTCCAACCCAAAGCACCACGCTCACGTTTGTGCTTCACCAGTAATTTAACACAGTCTTGCTTGTTATTCCATGCTGCTATCATGAGAGCTGTCCATCCATAGCTACCCCTCATGCCGCCTTCCTTCTCTAGGAGTATTTCCACTATCCTTGTGTGGCCATGTGCTGCTGCCCTCATCAGTGCTGTTCCGTTGCGCATAATAATCCAGTCGTCTATGTCGAAAGATCCGAACTCCCTCTGTCCCCCCTGGAGAGGAAGGAGGGCCTTCACAGCCATCAGATCGTTTCTGTCAACAGCTCGCATGAGGGCAGTGACTCCATTCTCATCTGTGGGGTCGAGGAGCTCCACGATGTCCTTGTGCCCCGCCCTCGCGGCTATGGTCAGCGCAGTCTCGCCGTCGCTGTTCTTCACGTCTCTCTCGTGGAAGTGCCTCCTCACCATGGTAACGTCTCCAGTGAAGGACGCGCACATGAGTGGTGTCCACGAGGGGGCCTCATGCTCGCGAAGAAGCAGAGCTATACTTGTATGCTTGTTCTTGAGGGCGTGCACGAAGGCTGTGTTACCGTCCTTGTCCTTCATTCCTCCCTGGACTGGTATAAACAGCCTTACCATGTCAGTGTCCCCTCTGGCTACGGCTCTCATGAGTGCCGTGACGCCGTTCTCATCGATGGGGTCCTCGTAGGGGATGATCATCTCGGCAACCCTTAAGTGCCCATTCTCGAGAGCATGGTATAGGGCGTTGTGATGTTGCTTATCCCTCAGCCCCTTCTCATGATCAAGGAGGATCTTGGCCATCTCAAGGCTCCCCTGCTGTGCGGCGATCATCAAGGCCGTACGTCCTTTGCTGTCGGTCAGGCCCTTTTCGTACGGGACCAAGAGGGAGGCGATCTCTGTGTGGCCCTTCTCCGCGGCGATCATCAGAGCTGTGTGGCCATGCGAATCTCGAAGACCATGCTCAAACTCGGCAAGTGCCCTAACAGTTTCTACACATGAATTGGCCACGGCCATCACCAGGGCAGTCCGACCGTTGTTGCTTCTCTTCCCGTGCTCATGAGGGACGAGGATCTTAGCCACCTTTGAATGGCTATTATGTATGGCGTGCATGAGCGCGGTCCAGCCGTTTTTATCTTTGAGGCCCTTTTCCTTCTTAACAAGCAGCTCAACAGGCCCACCGTGCCCCTGCTGGGCTGCATGCATGAGGGCCGTCATCTTCTGCTTGTCACGCTGGCCGGTGCAGACTCTTTCTTCAAGTAGCACCCGGACGGTCTCCGTGCTGTTCATGTGCGCAGCGCGTATCAACCTGGGAAGCAGGAGAAAACTGCGGGGGTCGGCTGCATCCATCCTGTCACTAAGTTGCATGACCTTGGCCTCTAGCGCTCTCATCGTGGCCAGATGCTCTTGACCCTGGTTCTCGAGCGCGTCGATCCTAGCGGACTTAGCACTGAGGTCCTTCTCAAGGGCACTAATCCTGTCCGTCTTAGTATTGATATCCTTCTCGAGCGCGTCTATCTTAGTAGATCTTACTCCGAGATCCTGCTCAAGGGCGGCGACCTTGTCCTCCCTCGCCCTTGCGTTCTCTTCGAGTGCGTCGATCCTAGCAGCCTTCGTCTCGAGAGCCTCCTTGAGAGAGGCAATCTCGGTCAATTGGGACACCATCTCAACAGACCTGGCGTCGAGGGCCACCTCAAGAGCGGTGATCCTACCTGAGTTGGCCTTGAGCTCGTTCTTTAGAAGCGTGATACTAGCATTAGCACTGTTCAGAGCAGCCTCCAAAGCGCTGCACTTGCCTTCTAGCGTCACATACCGATGTCCCAGCTCATTAACTGGGACATTAGATGTGGTGAGCATCTTACACAATTCTTTGGCCGTCAGCCTCCTCTCTGGCTCCAGCACGAATATCCTCTCCAGAACGTTCTGCATGAAGCCATCAGCGACACCGCTCAGGTCCGGCCTCCACCCGTCGACGAAGACCTCTGCCGGCTCCTTGCCCCCCAAGAAGTCCGGCCTCCTCAGAGTTACTAGTTCATAAATGATGACCCCGAGGCTCCACACGTCGGAGGCGGGGCTGGCCTCGTTGTGGAGGAGCACCTCGGGGGCCATGTATACTGCCGTGCCTGCAATGGTGCTCCCGCATCTCAGGGCGTCCTTACAGAGGCCGAAGTCGGCGATGATGAAGTGTTCACCATCTGCGCTGACGAGGACGTTCGCAAGCTTGAGGTCGCGGTGGACGAGGCCTCTAGTACCTCCCACACTGACACTGTGGAGGTAGGCGAGGGCGGCGGCGAGCTGCCTCAGAATGGAGAGGATCAGCTCGGGAGAGACGGGGGTCTTCCTCCGCTTGCAGTCGATAAACACTTGCTCGAGGGTCTTGTCGTGGCGATTCATGACGATGTAAATGAAGCCCTCGTCTTCAATCACTTGATGATACCTGAGAACCCCCGGGTGGGAGAGGTCGGGAAGGGTGGCCAGCTCGAGCCTGATGGCGTCCACGTTGCCCTTACCCAGGCCGTCGAGAGGAACCTTCTTCACAGCGAGGCTCGGATGGCCCCTAAGGGAGTAGACTGTCCCCGTGGTGCTTTCATTAAGCACGCTATCCAGCCATTCGTGGAGGTCCCTGAGAGCGAACTGTGGGATGGTGGAGGCTGCTGCAGGAAGACTGAATGCGTGGTTGCTGCCATCGGCCATAATAGCTTTATTTCCAGAAATGGGATCAAGCGATTGGATTGGAGTAACGATTGGAGGCCGTACACTCCCAGCTTGGAGGAGAGCACGAGTCCTTGCCATCTCCATTCCTTGGGTCCCTATTCATGACAGTAGACAGGCCACCCCACAGAGGATGGAACACCCTTGCATGTGCTGACTCACTAATTCCTGTCCAGTATAACGGCAGATCGTAACCTTACAGCATGTGTCAATATTCCATATCAACTCCCTTAGATATGCGGTCACAACTATTACTCCGTCACTATCCACCGATGCTATGCATAAGACTGTTGCTCTGCAGAGTACAAACGATACTCTGCACCTGTAGCAGAACATCTCATGACATCAAGCGCAGAGAGATACCGTATGTCAAGGCCATGCGCATTATGTCTCGGGTGGTCAGTAGATTCGACGACGACCACATCTACCCCGTGTACCGCTTCGGGTGCATAAACACTAAGGACAAGTCTGTCCTTCCTCTCCTGTATCCTGATCAAGAAGACCCCCACTTCGAAGGCTTTGACGCCGTGAAGAAGGCGTACGAACACATCGCGCCCCAGATCGAGATGTCCGGCCCGACCACCTTTGCCCCGATGATCCGCCAGGCGATAGAGATATCTAGGGAATCCAATGGTCAATACATGATTCTCGTCCTGCTCACAGACGGTGACGTTTCAGACATGGTTGAGGATATGAAGGCGCTCCAAGAAGCGTCCAACTACCCCCTGAGTATCGTTGCTGTTGGTTTGGGCGATGGTCCGTTCGACAAAATGCACATTTTCGATGACGATGTCCGTGGTCGCAAGTTCGACAACTTCCAGTTCGTGAACTTCACAGAGGTTGAAATGAAAGCAGGGAAGTGCGAGAACCCAGAACTGGTGCTTGCCACCGCCATGATGCAGGAGATCCCCAGTCAGTTTGCTTTCATTAAGAAGCTAGGGTATCTCAACTAGCCGGAGTGAATAGTGGGCGAGCCTTATGCAAACTACTTAATGTGCTACCGTTCGCTTGATCTTGAGCCTCACGGTCATTGTTTCTTTTGTGGTCGTCTTCTCCTGTGTAACCAGGTAAGACTGCCGCCTGTCGGGCTTTGGTATTGAATCTTTTGCATCTGTGCGGTGCTCTTCTTGCTGTCTGTGCTCGTACTCCTCCTGCTCATCTTCCACAGAGAAGAGGGCCAGGTGCTTCACAGGCTTTTCGTGCCTAGTTGTCTTCCATATGTACTCCTCTATGCTGGCCACTGATTGGGGAGAGTCCCCGTGAATAAAGTGGACTTCACAAACTGTGTATGACCTCATGGCCTTTTTGACCTCTGTCCAGACAACCTTGGCAGCCAGAAGGGTTTGTGAGCCCGGAGAAATGATGGTGAAAAGATCCGTGGAGCCAGTCCCCACCAGGTACACGTCGTCGACGTTTGTGGAGAGCTTGTAGACAAAGAGAGCGTTATAATTATGGCAATATACGAGTGCAAGCTCGTTTTGAGGATCTACAGAGATGAAGGATATGCAGGGGAGGATCTTGCCATAAGTCTTGTACTTATTAGAAGAGATTCCTAGCAAAGGGTCATTCAGCTGGCTAAATGGCGGTAGCATGCTCAGCTTATAGCGCTCCGCCTTGTGCTCCAGGAAGTAATTGTATGCCTGCTCAAGAACCAGAGGCTTCTGCAGATTGAGGGCCTGGGTGGAGGACTCGAGGAACTTAATCGTGAGGAAGCCAGGAGTGAAGCCATGAAGGACGGAAATATCGTTGCCTGTGGTTAGGCGAACCAGCACAATCGGGGATAAAGAATAGGAAAAGTCGAAGAGACACTCACGCAGAGAAGCCAGGAGGGATTTCCGGTTAAGAACAGAGTTCTCAAGCGGAAGGGTGGTCAGAGGGCCTGCTCCGATCAAGCTGTCTGTTGTCCGATCCAGTGTAGAAAGCCTCTGCATCTGGCAGACCAGCAGCTGTATGAACCGGGTGGAGTGGTGCCTCCAGACGTTCTGCTCATGCCTCCTGACGTATTTAACAAACACGTAGATGGACCGAATGGAGAGCGTGGTCGGCGACTCAGATAAAATCTTCTGAGCATCCTCGAAGAAGCACTCGTGCAGATGGCATTGGCAAGCAGGGCCCTCACCCTTCTGTGCTCGGCTGGTGGTGCCTATACTGTTGTTAGATGCGTAAAGGCCCCTGTAGTACCCCGAGATTCCTTTACAGCTAGAGACAAGAGCCGATGAGGCACCAACCAGCTCTTGCAGGGCAGTGGTCTTCAGCAGGATATGGCTGCACTGGGCTGGCATCAGCGTGGGTACTGCCGATGCATAGGTGCAGACCGTGCGGAGCAAGAAGGCCAGGTTAGTCAAAAAGTATGAGGCAAAGCCGGGAGAAAGACGCTTGAAGTCGGCATCGGCAAGGTTGTTCCTAAAGTAGCACGCTATGGCTGTGGATTCATCTAGGGTTGCATCGAGAAGGGCTGTCACATGCTCTTCCAGACCTAGCTGTTCGCTTAGGTTCAAGTTCTTTATGAATGCCAGGGCTTCAAAAGCGAGCACAGCCTTGTAGAAGATCTCACGGTGAATGACCAGGATGTGTATAGGTGGGAGCTGCGTGCACAGCGTAAGCTTAAAGCTGAGCTCGCACACCTCGGTTGTTGCAAGTACCAGCGTGTTAAGGGTGTTCTTAGGGATGGCTTCTTCGAGAAGAAGCTTGGAGAGGCGTGCAGTGAGTAGCCGTAAAAATGCAACGGCCGCAAACTTAGAGAACGGCGAGCTAATAGCCAAGAACGGGAACACGAGACGCATAGAAGGAAGACGCCCCGGATTCGCCAACAAATAGCTTTCAATTGCAAACCCCAAAGCTGCGTCAATAGCTGATAGGAAGGGCCTTCGATCGGCCTCCTGGAGGAACCTGTAGAGCACGCCTGCCATCACCAACACAGAGAGGCAACTGAGAGTGAAAGAGAGCTTGTGATTATAAAGGTGGTCCGGAGTAAGCTCTGTGAGCAGGCAATTGACAACTTCGCGGCAGTTGAGTAGGTCTGACGCGAAGAAGTCAAGGTGCTGACAGGCTGACGTTGAGGCGCGCCCAAGCTTGAGCCGGCTCCGTAGGCCCTCTGTTATGAACCCGTCTTTCTGAGCCATCACCATAAAGATGTTGTGGTAGAGCCTTTTCAACGGAGTAATTAGGATGGTCGCCAGAATTCGTTGTGTACTGTTATAGACCTGGAGGAACCCAAGGGAGTCCAGAGAGTAGTAGTCCGAGGGAAGATATGCCTCAACAACGGCCTCGAGCAAACTCGGTGTGGGGCTTGCAGCTGCATCATACATGACACTTAACATCTGACTAGTCGTCGAATACTTCGATGGAAGCCGTGGAGTAGCACTTACATGGTCAGCGATACTTTCGTTAGAACTAGACTCATTGTCGTCACTCTCCAATGCTGGCTGCAACTCATCAGATAGTACATGTGTGATAGCACTGCGCTCTTGCTGGAGCATCTCCGGAACAACTGTGCTGCCAGCGTGTTGATGAGCGCGTGGAGACGCAGGGGCTTCCATGGAGACTCCCGCTGCTGGATACTCAAAAGCAAACCTGCTGATCATCGCATCGACCCATGCCGGTGTCATAGGGACGCTGAGGCTGGCACTTGCACCAGTAGTGTGATCTAGGCAGGGTGAGACAGCAAGCTCCTTCAGGATATTGTCTATGCTCTCTAACTCAGCCCTATAGTCTATACTCTGCTTGCTTGTTGCCGAGGAGATGTTTATGCAGAGGCGAAGAAAGCGGTGCACCCTTCCTTTCATCGGCCGGATCGCATACTCTCCTGCATAGCCTTCTCTTCTCTTGAATGTGTCCAACTTCCTCTTCAAGGAGATTGCACTCGTCATGCCATCGTCGTGGAACTGGGAGCCGTGGGCAGACAGTGCGTAACTTCTGGTCGCGCTGGATTCAGAGAGGAGGTCGTCGGACATGTCGGTGTCATTATCAACGGAAACGTAGAGGGAGCGCCGCACCTTCTTGTGCTTCTTCGCAGCAGACAGGGATACGTAGGGGTTGTACTGCTTGTCTATGACCAGCCTCTCTATTTGATCGTTCATGGAGGCCAGTGATCCATCGGCGATAATGGGATGAACATCTACCGGGATGTTTTCGAGGAGATGCTGAAGAGTTGGTGCACTAGCCACCGAGACCTCGGGATCTTTGGAGGGCTGTCTGTGCATGAGGAAGCTTTCGACCGTTCCCTTCAATGAAGTACCAGAGAATTCCGTGGAGACCGGTGTAAGGCCTGTGGTATCCCTATTAGCAAGCGATTCTCCCTGTCGATCTCCAAGGGCGTCTGCTTGCACTGTACGCTTAGTAGTCCTATCGCTTAGCCTCTGGCGCAGTATCCCGCTTATGTAGAAGTCCACCAGGCCGCTTAGATGGAAAGTCTCCATTTTAGTGTATCCAAACTGACCCAGCGAGTCGTTGTGATCACACAGGAACCCCAGTGCAATGTCGTGCTCGAGTAGGGAGACATCTGCCGTCCCTCGATGAGCATCAAGCACGAAGAGATAGAAGCATGTCTCCGAGGTTGTCTCTGTGATCAGAATGAAGGAGGACTCAGAGAGAATCAAATAGGGTACCATCATTGCTCGCAGCAACGGCTCTCGCCTGCGGGCGCTGTCCGCAAATCTCGTGAGTAAATTCCCGCTCAATTTTTGGCGATATCCGGAGACGAGGGTTGGTCGTTGATGATATAATGACCACAGTAGTGGAAGGGAGGAGCTAACTGCGTTCCTCGGCTGTTCTATGGGCGTGTGCTCGGTCTAGGTGTGCACATAGGTCCTTTTGGAGATCAGGCCGTCCTGCAGGCTCGCTGGTCTACTAGGGCGTCTCTCCTTGTTCTCCCTTTACGGTGAGTGAAACTCTGGTCTTTGTTGTCATTCTCAATACTGTCCATACAGATCGGCAGCAGCTAACGGGGCTTTCTCTTCTGGTTGGGATTCAACTCGGTTGTGTGTCCAGTCTTGCGCCCCCTCTCGATCGTTGTCGTCGGGTCCCAGGGATGGATTCATTCGGTTGTCAGAAGTAGGATGACAGGAGACGGTCGCTCTGGGTGGCCAGGCTTTCGGCCCGGTCGCGTCTGATCAGCCCCGTCAGGTGCTCGTTCGCCTCTGCAGCCATGTGGGCGATGGCGAAGGCAGCCCGGACGGAGATCCACGTGGAGCTCCTCGAGGTGCCTCTTGGACTTGGGGTGGAGGGATCCGTCCGTCCCGTAGATGATCGGGAGCGTCCCGTCCCTGTACTTCTTGACCTTCTCGTTGTAGTAGGCATCCATCTGGCGGGGCTGGATGACGCCCACGTCCACTGCCTTGCACTTGTCGACGAGCCAGATGTCGGGCTTCTGGTTCTGGTCGCTGAGGTGGCTGTGGGTCTTGATCTCCAGCTCCGGTTGAGCTTCCCTGAGACGCGGAGGTACAGGCACGCGACGATCATGTCGTGCCTCGTGGTCCTGGTCCACGCCGTGTGGCAGCCCGGGCAAGTGCCTCTTGTCTGCGCCATGATCGAATCGCCCTTCTCCTTCAGGGCCCTTTCCTCCTCGGTCAGCACGTCGCCGCTCTGTCCGGAAGCTGGTGTGTGCGCGTGAGGAGGCGGTTGAAGTAGGCCCCTTCCCCTGCAGTGCCTGGCCGTTCACCGGCAGCTCCACCGGGTCTCTGGTCCCCTTGTTGACGTCCGGGGAGGCCCATACCCTTCGCAGCTCGTTGTGGCAGAGCCCCGGCATGAGCAGGCCCAGGCCGCCCTTCTCCTTCGGGTACGCTAGGAAGTCGACCAGGCGATCGCAGCTTCTGTTGGTTAGTGCTGATGCCTTGTGCGACGTCTGTCGAACTCCTCGTAGTCCGCCTTGTCCGATGTTACTTCGACCAGGGGGGCGTAGTTCACCATCGGGACCACGCAGTGACAGCAGAATGAGTCTCTGGTGGATGGTTATGGGGGCATTCTCGATCTTCTTCAGGGCAGTCTCGGCACCTGCGATGGCCTTTGGTGCGGGACTGGCTGGAGTGGGGGACACCGGGTGGTTGAGGAAGGTCACCTCCTCGCCCGCCATGGTGGACTTGCATCTGTCGCTCCTGATCGTCAGGCCCATGGCGGCAGCCTCTGCTGTGGCTTGCTGTACTATTGCGCCTGCTGGGTACCCTTCGTCGTGGAACGCCACGATGTCGTCTGCATAGGCAAGGAAGGTGATGCCCCTCTCCTTGAGGCGTCTCAGGAGGCGCTCGGTGGCCATGCAGAAGAGGAGCATGCTGAGCGGGTCGCCCTGGGGACGCCGCAGACCTCGCACTTCACGTCCCGGCTGTGCCTCAGGTCGAGGAAGTTCCTGACGTAGTCGATCAGGACCTTCGGGACGCCTGCCTCGTTCAGGGCTCTGACGACCTCTGCCCTCGGGAGCGAGTTGAGGGCGTTCTTTGTGTCGAGGGAGACGGCGTGCACCTGTCCTGCTGATGAGCTCGTGGGCCCTCCTCACGCCTACCGCGTATGCGTTCTGCTTGAAGGCGATCTGCTCGCATGAGGGGTAGTTGGCATGCCTGACCAGCCGCTTCAGCAGGACGCGGTGGAAGATGTTCGTGACCGTCTCGCCTATCGCGATCGGGGTATTCGTCGGACTCCTTCGGGATGAGCGGTCAGCTCGTTGTACGCCTGCGTGAGGTATTTCACGAAGCTGTCGTTCTGCTTCATCGCCTTGAGCTGGACCGGCCCGAGGCCAGACACGCCTGAGGCCTTCTTGTTGAGAGTCCCAAACAGGGCCTTCCTCATTTCCTCCTCGGTTGCCACTCCAGCCCCGTCGAGTTCATCGATGGAGGGTAGTCAAGGCCAACGTAGTCTTCGGGGGGACGCACGGGTGTAGCGCGCTGAGGGGGCCTTGGCCTTCTCTGGCTTGTCTATCGTGGGTGTGTCAAGGAACAGAGGACCTGGCAGCCATTAAAGCTCAGCGCGTTGTTCACCCTGTTTGCTATCCGGCGCCTCGCCTTCTCGGGGTCTGGGTCTGCCTTGCTCTGGGACTGCTCCGTGGTGTTGTCTGGCAGAGGGGCCCTCTGGCAGCTTCCCACCAGGGCGTCTAGGCCCCTGATTGCGGGGAGCGCGACCCCAGTCCCGGCCTGCTCGATGCTCGCGATCATGCGCGCACCCTGGTGGATGAGCATGGCAGCTGTCTGGTTCGGTATGTGGGCCGGAAGGATCAGCTTGTCGTCGCCCAGCACTCTGTGTCTGTCATCGTTTGCTTCTCTCAGGTGCTCGGTTGGTTGCTTGGCGCTCTCGCACGGTAGGCCACAGAGCCAGCGTGTGTGTCCTGCCAGAGGGCAAGCGTCTTCGGAGTGGTCTCCCAAGTAGAGACTCACGGCTTGCTCTCTGGGACCCAAAGGTACCATCTTGCGTTCATAATGTGGATCGGGTCCTCGCGGCTCTCCTTCGCCTCAGGTCCAGCTGTGTGCACGCCCGCGGAACAGCCGAGGAACGCAGGACCCCAGATCCACAAACGGAGGGAGCTCTTCCCTATCACCGCTGTGGCTATCGTTGCGACCCGTGGCCAACCGTCGTCTCCAGACTGGCCGGGAATTGAGTGAGGCTTGCCCGTGAGATCTCTGGACCACACCGCAGACATGCCCCAGCGGCACACCACTGGAAGCAACCGGTGGGTGGAGTAAATGACTAGTTGCTTTTTACGCGCTGCTTCTGGATGCGCGAGTCTTCAATGTATGGCACAGGCACTCTATAACTGGCTAGTGTGCCCGACTACAGGCAAGCACCGAAAAACGTCAGTAATTAAAAATCTACTAATGCTGGTATTATTGTTCTTCGCCGTGCTCTCTGGCAGCCCAGACAGACGACAGGTCTACTCCAGACAGGAGTACCTACTACGTTGCCTGTGAGGAGGATCAGCCTGATTGTGCGGAAAATAAGTGCGTTATATTCGCTCACGAGAGGCCTCTATGTACCGAATGCAAGTCTGGAAAAGTGCCTATCGACGGAGAGCGTGTGGAGCTAGCGCACCAGGCATAGCTGTGTGTGAACAAGAAGGTGTTAACGGCGGTGGAACACGCTGTAAGTCATGTGCTGGTGGAAGTGGAAGTAGGAATACTGGTGACGGTGTAGGTTATTTTCTATTTTACGGGGGCTGCTACAATAATGATGAGTGGCCTGGTACAGACATAAGACTGTTTCAAACGGGGTGTGCACTGTTTGTGATACTGAGTATGGGGCCGTTTTTACGAATCCAGATACTACCACCGATGAAAGGTGTATCCTATGTAGTGATACGCTATCCGGAATGGAAGGCTGTGCGACTTGTGTGTCCCTTCCTCAGAATCCTGCGCCAGACAATGCAGAAGGCGCCGCCAGTCTTCAACGTACTTCCTGCTTAGATGAGACCAAAGCCCCAATCGATGGAGTATGCGCAACCTTTGGCTCTAACAGGTACAGAAAAGATATTGTACTCATTGCATAGTTAGCCATACTGCGGGGCGGGTGCTCAGTAGCAGTAAGAAGGGAGCTAAAGTATGTGCTAAGGTCAACCAAATAGAGATGGGTGGCTATTCTGCTTGTAAGCAGTGCACCAACACCAGTGAGGCCCACACAATGGAAACTGTAGGCAGGTAAGTATTTTACATAGCTGCCAAAAGGATAGCTCAGCAGGAATGTGCGCAGCTTGCAACCAGCATTTCTATGGCCGCCCTGTCTTCCTGTACAAGGGCGGCTGCTACGTCATCACTGACCCCCTTGGAGACACCATATGTAAAAAGACGTTCAACGGTAAATGTACTATTTGCAATGAGGACCAAGGGTACTTCATGAAGGATTCGGCATGTACCAGATGCGATGGATTTGTCCCCGGTTGCGCTGTATGCACCCCTAGCCCTGATGCCTCCGGTGCTCCTGTGTGTGCCAGCTGCAAGGCCGGCAAATATGCAACTGTAGACGTGCTTCCTGCGTCGACTCATGTCCATCGGGTGGCTCAGGTAGCTGTGATAAAAATAATGTCTGTAGCTGTAAGTGCAGTACAGGAACCTACTTGGATGCCGCCACAAGTACACATAGCACATGCAATTAAGCCTGTACGGGTCCTGAGGTTGAGAAATGCACGTCCTGTGTCTCAAGAAAATATCTCAAGCGTGATGCATCTGGTGCCATTAAACGTGTAGATTCTGTTGACTGTGGTGAGGGGTATTATGCAGATAGTGCCACTAACATTTGTCCTTTGTGTGGTATTGACAAGTGCCAGACGTGTGCTTCTGATAGTGGTGTGGTCAAGTGTATGAAGTGCCTTTCTGGGTATCTTTTCATCGATGGCCTTTCATGTCGGTCCCAGTGCGATAAGCCGAATCAACAGGCAGATGCCAGTGACGAACCTGTTTGCGAATGCATTACAGGGGCTTATCTGGAAGGCAGTGTCCAGTGCGACTCAGCATGTTTGGAGCGGGTCCAGGGTCTGATCACTGCACAAAGTGTTCTTCGGGAAAGTACACCAAAGTGGACGACTCTGGAACGGTTACATGTGTCGACGCGTCTGACTGTGGCGATGGATACTATGCGGATCCAGAAGAGCTCCAGTGTGCCACGTGTGGAATTGAGAGCTGTCAAGCATGCACTTCTAAGG